GCATTTCTGATCCATCGCTGAAGTCCCCCTTGAGCCACAGAGTCTGCATAGGGCATTGAGGCTAAATTTTGCTCTAGGAAATTTTTCATTATTATAATCGCGTTGCCTAAAAACTTAAACTAAGTCCCTCAAACTTAGGAAACGTCATTCAGGAATTTTTAAGATTTAAATAAAATTTATATTCCTTAAAATAACTTTTGTATTTATTTAGTAATTTTAAAGAATATTTTATGGTTTTATATTCAATGTACAACTGAAAACAGTGATATCGTAACATTTTATTTGAGAAGTTAAATTTATATGCAGTTTTTGAAACAAGTTTACTGAAATTAAATAAAATAATGCATTCTAATGTAATACATACATGTGTTCTGTATTTCATGTTTGCTTCTACTTAATGCACCAGTTTTTCTTAAATGTGTAATTAATCGGATTTTAATTCAGTATTCAAACTGACAGACGTCAGACTGTCAGTCAGACTGTTTCGATCACTGTTAATCGTTTCGGGTAGCTGAGGAAGACCGGAGTAACGCGTCAGTGTCTCAAATATTTTTGATGCTATACCAACGGTTGACCTTCGGCAGAAGGCAATCCGAGTGTGAAGCACAGTCATTCAACACACTTGTCCCAAGCCATGGTTTCTTCGGGGTCATCGGTTGGTCGGTTTGGCAAGTATCAGTTATGTCGCCGACTTTTCTGGAAGCACTCGCAATAGTGTCCATCCCATTGCAATTGTGACATCTCAGTCTCGAGAAGCCTGAATTCCCTTTCGGCCTGCGGGCCGATCCTCACCCGTGCGAGACTGAGCTGGTAATATGTTCGACAACAGCAGTGCTATGAGGGGCAGGTGGCTAAATTTTGTGGATGACCTCACCACTATACCCAGCCCTCCTTTTTCTCATTCGAGTTTATGAACTGCAACCGCGAAATTTAATTTTAAATAATTTTTTCTTACTGTATTTATTTTTGACCATTTTTAAATATTTATTGTAGCCAGAGTTCCAGTTGCTCGACTCATCCGACGCGCATTTTTCCAAGGAGCTCACGGCTTTGGATTGCATCCCTCATCGGTACGTCAGCACCGTCCACCTCTTCTACGTTCGTGATGGTCAGCATGAAACAGACGACATACTTAGAAACTCGGTACGTTGGCGATTGACGAATGTTGCTTCCTTATCATGTGTATGCTTTTTTGTCAATGACCTTTTTTCAGATGTATTTGGGCAACACCAGCCTCGATTTCAGAACGTTCCTCACCTGTCTTGGTCTAGGTGTGTCTCGGTTTCATAACCGTCTTTGGAGCGGCAACTGGCTGACCGCGTACCAAACCAATAAGCAGCCGCTTAAGACAGAATGTAGGAAACCTCAGTTTATCAATCACCTTCATTAAATTTCTTTACTTTTTAAACTTTAGCCAAAGTCGTCAATGAGGAATACGTATTTGACGGTCAGACTCACCTCATTTACTGGTCATCACCGTTTTCCGAAATCGCCTTCGTTCTTCCTTCACCTCGTTCCCCATGCATTTCTTGTACGTGGTTTAATTTATTTTTTTGTTAAATTATCATTATGTAGCGTACACGTTTGTTCAGTGCCTGCCGGAATTATTTTCATAGGTCAACGAATGATAAACTTTACTTATCTACTTCAGTCAGTGATTGATCAGATGCTTTCAACATAATCCGCATATGCGGGTTGCCATAAACCCTTATTCCACAAGTACCAAAGTTTGTGCAGATGATCTGATTTCATATCGCGGTAGAGATATGCACTACGTGCTGTTTTCTGAGCCACATGACGGGCGGCCGAAGGACTGATATAGAGCCACAATTTCGTTTTATGAACGCTGATGTTATCCATCGTTTGAATCCACTCGTGAGAACTAGCTTCTACGAGAAGTCCACTACTGTCCACTACTACTACATTTAGTCGTGTTTTACGTCACGTCATCAGTAATTCCATGCGAAGCGGCAAATTATATATTATATAAGCGAAGCGAAGCATATATATATATGTCGCAACTCAGGTCACCGTCGTATGCGGTCGATTACTAACGACAGCTACTAGATGAGAGGTTTTTCAACTATACATATTTGTAAATGATTTTGCGTATAACAAACGGCTTGTTTCACCCCCATGAACCCTGGACAATTCTCACGTGATGAACTCTTCCCTTTTCGAAGTCCCCTATGGCGGAACATCTTGACACGGTTACGAAATAGCACCTCGCAAGGCATTGTCTACTTAATCGATATCGACGATACAGAGAAAAAGCAACTGGCTTGAAAAACGCTGCACAGAAAATTTCGCCAAGGGGTGTATTAGCCCCATCTGTGTTCTCTTCAAATACCCGGTCATGGATCAAGAACCTTGATGAACTTCAGTAGATAATAGGGATTGCCCCTGGTCAGACACTATCATGCGTCTTGTTGATCCAAGAGTCGTTGGATCACAGAGCCATCGATGATACAGCTGTTAATTTCAATGACTATCTAACTTGCACGACCGGTCGTTGTGCCGCGGCCAGTAGTAAATCCCGTGGTGGTTGAGTAGCAATTTGGATCAAGAGTAGCCGTTGCCCTCCTTCTTCAACTGAAGTACTACTCAGTCATTCACCCATGAACGTACAGAGTGTCGTTCTTCAATTACTCCTGTGTTCCACACTCCTTGTCACAAATTTAGACGCCCGGCAACTAAAACTTTTATTGAGCTATCATCGTGTTCTACATCCTGCCACTGGGTGCCTTGCTTAGCCAGTACACTACAGTAGGCTGGCATTTCTATCCATCTTCTAGAGTGTTTGGCGGACTTTCTTTCAGACAGGCAACCATGTATTATGCTGTCAGTCGTTGTTCCTCGATGTTGCCATTAAGCCTTGGAGTGCTACAAGGATCACTTTTTACGATGTTTAATTTTTTTATCAGCTCGCTTTAGTTCGCTTTCCAGTTAATGTGTCAGATATACCGATGACATTGCAATTATCACACGCAACATAAGCATGCTTGATTCAGCTAGGTTGCAGGATGCATTGAACAAAACTGCTAAATGGGTGCAAGACTGCGGCCTAGAAATCAACCAAAAGAAAAGTGCCCAACTGACCTACTTAATGAGAAACTTCAAATGAGAAAGATTACTATCAGTAGTCGAACAGTCAGTGATAATGGCACATGAATCCCTGTTCCTTTTACTCGCACAACTAAGTATATGGAGTATTGAACCGTCGAATAGAGAGCTCCGACCACGTCAAATAAGTGTTCACGAAAGTGGGCCAGGGTTCTTACTACCTACTCAGGCTGTTTAAACTCTGTGCTCTACGATGGAGCTAGATGGAGCGTTTGTTTGTTTTCGGCTGCTTGTTGTCGCTGATCATTTACTCTCGACCTGTAGTTTTCTCTGGACTCCTGAAGAACGACTATACCTTCCTTCATCTTGCTGTTTTACTGGTCAGCTGCATCTGCAAAAAATCACCTAACAGAGATTTGCGACCGAATGGCTTCCACAGTCCTAAAAGCAACCATGTACTTAGGGCGTACCTTCTTGTACGACGTCAGTCATCCATTACTCATACAGTTTCTGAAAGTTGTTTCAGTGCACCCCGGATCCAGAAGAGAAGCACGGTAAACGGTATCCCTGCACGCACAGAACTGTACC